TACATTGCAAACCACTTTAGATGGGCTAAATTAGGGGCTTTCAATTGGGGGTACTTTCGAAGGTCCCAAGGGGTATGCAGCAGCGGTGCAGAGAAGTTGCCGGCACTTCGAGTTTTGCCAGCCTCACTTCTGACCCCACCCTCACCCCTGCTTGTGGACCAGCTGCCAGGGGACCCCCCACTCATCAACTGGCCACTGGGGGACTCCCCATTTCTCGACCAGCCACCAGGGGTACACTGACCAAAAAAGGTTGAAAACCCCCAGGCTAAATCAAGTGAAATTCTACATAGGGTTAGCTTATTCTAAGTAATAAGTCTTTTTTCCCCATGTAGAGATAGGGGTAGAAGTAACAGTGGACTCAAGGCACTGACAAAGAAAAGGCAAGCAGCAAGGAAGCTAAAGGAAAGTCAACCTCTGGATGAAAGGCTCCTAATGTTTACAATGAAAAATACAATTTGCTTCTCCTTTCTACATTGATACGTAAGTTTTATGTCTGAGAGAACGAAATAGCTGACCATCTCCAGCCTATGCAGCTGGGATCTTCCCCACTGAGACAGCTACCAACTGATGATTCTACAAGTTACCTAGATTTACATCACAGATGCACACATAAACCCAACATTACTGCTTTTGTTGTCACGAATTATATAACACAAGAGGAAACATAGCTTCATATAGACCAGTGATTCTTAACCAGGATGCTATGGCATCCTGAGACACCTTGAGATCCTGTCAAGGGTATTATGGGGTGCCATGTAATTCTGGCACTATTAGGTGTCCAAATAACATTTCTAACAGGAATCTATAGTGTTAAAAGCATACAGATCTGTTGTGATCGTTGTGAGTTCTCTGCAACACAAGAATTGCTTTATTATTTTTCTGTAGCAAAAAAAAGTGAAAATTAAGAGCTGGCATTTTTTAGGGGTGCCTTCAGTCAAAAGAGGGGTACCTTGAGTCTAAGAAGGTTGAGGACCACTGATACAGAGAGAATGTACAAATCATTGTGTAGTCCAATGTTAGCATCCCTTGAATCAATCAGTCCCTCAGGCCAACTTAATTAATTTTTATTTCAATTTGCTAAATTATAGTCTCTTTGCTTTTAAAAAATGTCCAATACAAATTTTATGAAAAGTCTCATGCTTGTATCCTTTTTCAAGGGCAATTTCCAATTAAAGTGCATTTGCTGAGACCCATCTGAAATTACAATTTTTAACTACATTATGATTTTGCTCCAGGGCAATTAGGGATATAATTGAATTCAACAGTCAGTGCTATATAAATGCACCTCAATTGCTTTGTTCTGTTTTGTTTTTTGAACACGTATTTTGTAGTGCCTAGAGCTAAGGTTAACTTTTTTTAAGATAAAGGTAGATGGAAGAATGAATAAATACATTTTATACAAGATAGCTATCTATGCATTCTTTCAATGTCATCTAAGCACAAACATAACAAGGGACCAGGCTGTTCTCTCATATGGAAAAAATGATTTCTAAGACAGAAAACTCTACAAGGTTTCTCACAGAATTATGCCATCAAGATGACATAGCTTTTCTGTGCTAGTAGTTGCTCGTGAAACCTCTTTTCAAGGTAGCTCCATAGAGCAGTGGGGATGCCAAACAAACGTTTATATAGTTTGAAGTTGTCTTAAAATATATGGTTCAGAGACCAATGGTTTTCTCAGACCATAGCAGTGGGATATAGGGGCAGAGGGTTATGGGGCACCATTTCTATTTGGCCACAGAGAAAGCCATGTACTGAAAAGTCTTTTATGTGCAGGGATATCAGGGCCATGAAAAATAAACCTAACTCCCAGTAGAAGTAACCACTCAAGCTTACTGATGTGATCTGATAACTTACATATGGGTTAGTATATACATATAGTCTAAATTCTACAGACACTTGTCATGTCTTGTGGTGCCTCAAATAGTTCTAGCACAGGGGTGGGCAATTATTTTGGGCAGAGGGCCGCCTACTGAGTTCCAGAAAGCCATCAAGAGTCACATGACAGACAGCCCAGGGCAGATTATTATTAATATCTACATTTTTTAGGGGCCCCACACGCCAGATAGAATGGCCTGGCAGGCCGCATCTGGCCCCGAGCCGCATTTTGCCCACCCCGTTCTAGCAGAACTCAAATGGATTGCTCAAAGATGGATGTTCGAACCTCTGTCTCTCACTCTGCTTCCAGGCACAACTCCCGCCCACAACCCCAACTACACTTCCAAAGTCCTGATTTCCTTACATGCTTATTCACAAAATGAGCCAGATGTACTGTATAGCAAAATGACAATTTTTGATACCATTTTAAAATGACCATGGTAAAACTACAGGTTGGTATCTAATCACAGAATCACAATGTTTACAGTCAGGATTTATGAAGATCCCAAGTCACACTTGGCACATCTACACGAGATGTTGACTGCAGAATTGACTAATTAGCTCTGTAGTAAACATCTTGGCATCTATGCATGCAAGGCAATTAGGCTGAAGTAAACTAATTAATGGGAGTAAACTAATAAATACAGGTACTATCCTGCTGCAGTTTTTTACTCTGCAGCAACATACATGTAGATGCTTATACGGCTGGCTGGGGCAGAAGAGTGCTTCAGTGCAGGGGCTGACTGGTGGCTAGCCCTGCACTAGCACACCCTTGCACCCCAGCCAGACTCTCTGTAGCACACTGAGTCAGGAGGAACAGCTCTGGTCTGGTAGGCTGACCCCTCATGGCCGCCTGCCAGCCGGGGCTGCTCCAACCCAGCTCAACGTGCTGTGGTCCCTGGTGCACGTTCAAATGGCATGCCCAGAAGCAATAAACTCTGGAGCAATAAACTCCAAAGTTTATTGTTTCACATTAATTGCCCATGTAGACATGCTCTGTCTATCTGAATACTACAGAAAACAAGCACAAATATTAGTCATATATGCTTTATTTGATCTCAGTTTCAACAGTGATTAGTGATTGGGTATGTGACGGCTTTTGAGTAATCAAATTCAAATATGTGAAAGGGGCCTGAATTTTTTAAAGTACTGAACACATGCCGTCTGAGAATCTGTATCACTTAATGTACCTTGGGTTGGATCACCAAAAGGTGACACCCAAAATCACTGGTTCCCTTGGGAAAAAAAGCCTCTTTATTGGATTCAGATTGATATTCATCTGTCTATTATCCTGCTTAGTTTTCAAAAGAGATTTTTATTTGAGAACTTACAAAAAAATTCTGAATGAAAACTAGCAAATAATGATATTCTTATAAAAATATATAATTTTTTAAAGATATATTGCTATTCCAAGAGGCTCTTCAGTCAGGTTTTTCGCACAGAAATGCCATGCTAGATATAAAACTCAGTTCATCTTACTTGCTAAAAATACACTAGCTATCATACCCCCGCCCCAAATCTTGCTGTGTGGAATTCTCCCTGTGATCACAGTATAGCCCTCAATAAAGAAAAGCTGGCTCTGTCAGTTCTGATTCAACCACAATGCGAAGTTTGATTTCTTCCACACTATCATACCCCCGCCCCAAATCATTTGCTACTTTGACTAAGAGACCAACATCTGGAAGGCACATGGGAAGAGACCATTGAACTAGCTTCCCTCCCCAAATACAAATTACAGAAGGAAACAACTTAAGGAAATTCTCAAAATATTTGTCTTTCTGTGTTTTGTAATCTCTACGTCTAGGTATTTTAATATTGATCTGACATTGTGCCCCTAAGGTAGGTTCTGACCTTCTCTGTTATATTCATTGTAAAAGATTCACATAGTTTAGCCTAAATAATAGATTTAATTTTCAGCCACACTGTAGGCATGAAGGTTTTCTGCTACACAGCTAATTTTTATAATATATTTGCAAGGGTATGATATTTAGCTGCATGTGGGATGGTTCTTCAATGCATTTTACTCTTCCACCTCCCTCAAAAAAGCCCTGGCTTTAATTCAACTCTTTTTTTAAATAACTTTTCAAAATGAAATATGCCTTTATATATACTGCATATCCTTAAATGCAAGGGGGTATAGACACATGCAAGAACCAAGACAAAATACAGATTTATGAGCAGTAAAGATCCTGAAACTTGAGGGTCTTTCCTTGCTCCCATAAAGAAAATGGCAAAAGTGCTCTTTTGAATTGGACTGGAAGAAAACAGACTTCCCAGAATTTTATGGTTGTGCTTACACTTAACCCTTTTTGAAAAAAGGTCCCATTATTGCTAATACCAAGGTAGCATGGCCAAGGCAACCAACAGTAAGGACCAGCTATTATTAGAGGTGGCCGGGTTTTGGGTACCATGAAGGAGACGGATGGTGCTGCTTCCCTCATAGGTGAAGTACAGACCAGTCCAAGGAATGGGATTAAAGCCAACTGACATCACCTTGCTGCCTTCCCCACTCTGGTCTGCTTTGTAAATTTACACAAATCCCCAACATAATTTAGACACTTCTAGGGATCTAAGTCACAACAGTCTTAGTGGGTCTCCCAACAGATTGCAGTATTCCCTCCTGCAGCATCATCCTAAACATGCCCTACGTACTGTCAAAGTCTTGACCCCTCTAAGGCTCACGGGACAGGGATTCAGAGATGTCTGAGAGGATGGACTTAAGATGTCTTCTGCATTGCCTCTGCAGAGATGATCCTTCCCATACAGTACCAGGCTTTTTTGGGTCTCTTCACATCACTTGGTCCAGCAAAGGCACCAGAACAAAGGTGAGGATCTCACACCATGCTGTCTAAACTTGCTCAAAGCTGCTCTGCATAGCATGATAGAGCTGCACTGATGGGGATTTTTTAGGAAATAAACCTTAGTGTGAAAGAACTTCTCTCCAGTTATGTGAAACCTCAAATATAACCTGAAGTGATGAAGTGATTTAGGCATTAAAAACAACCCTTGAAAACAATAATGCTTTTAGGTCTGCAGTCACCTCTTATGTTTCATTTCATTGTCAAGTTAGCCAGACACCACATTTCTCTACCATTCTAATAAGGATTAAAACCAAGTCCAACCTGATTCTTTTGGGCTATCTTTTGCCCCTTTTTCCAGCGAAGGACAGGCTTGAGAGCAGGAAGCTCTTTCTCCTCCTTTCCCACCATATGTTCCCCAAGGCTGTAGGCTACTTCAAATACAATTGGAGATATCACATCTTTGACTCTTCTCTGAAAAAGAAAATGAACAAAAGATTTATCTGTGAGAATCTCAATTAAGCAGAAACATCTATGTATAGTAAGAAAGCATGTGACAGGTAAGGATTTTTTGGGGGTGGTATATTTTAGTTGACTAACTGTATAGTTGGGAGGGCCACAGACAAACTTTCAGATACCATGGTACCCACAAAGACCCACAAAAATTCTTGCCTCTTTCCTGGACTGTTACAGCTGCAACATCACCCCAAAACTAGTAAGAAAGAGGTCAGTACAAGCATCTAGATCAGACGGGCAATTATTTTGGGCACAGGGCTGCTTATTGAGTTTCGGCAAGCCATTGAGGGCCGCATGACAGGCAGCCCAGGGCAGATAAATGTTCATTTTTTAAATTTTTTAGGGGCCCCGCGGGCTGGATAGAATGGCCTGGTGGGCCGCATCCAGCCCCCGGGCCACATTTTGCCCATCCCTGATCTAGAGCAAGATGACATTCAAAAGATAAATTTTGTTACAGTACAATTCAATCTAAAGTTGTATAAGCAGAGAAACTTTAAACACCCCAGATTTTCATAGACAAATATTTCTTTTCAGTGTGTATTTATTTAAAACATTTTATATGAATGTAATGTATATGAAATTGCTTAGAAAGGTTTGGAAAAGGCCAGGCCACCAATCCTGAGTCCATTAGAATGAAGTCTTTTCTGAATGTAGTCCATCAGTCATAACAAACCATACAGGCATAAAATGTAATTTGAATTCAGCGCTCTTGGGCTGAAGGTCCAGTGAGCTAGGCCAAGTATTCTGAATAGCCTATTTGATATCTATTTTAAGGCAGATACCTACACTTCCCAAATATCTAACTAGAATTCAGACACCTCCAAAAATTATATTGAGTTAAGGTTTTAGCCAACTTGCAAATTATCAGCTCAGGTATACAGACATTGGGAACCTGGGCAAATGCCATTCACATAGCCTGCTCCATTTTATACTCAGGCTTCCAATGGTCAGTATCTACAGTGGTCAGTCTATCTGCAAACACCACACCCCCTAATACAGTCAGGCTACTGCAACCCAGGCTTAGGCTGTCAGCTATTTAGGGCGGATGGTATTTATTCACATTTTAGCAAAGCATATTGAACACTTCTAGTCCCACACTGCGCATAAGCATTAAATAATAGCAGTGCCAAAACTTCTACCCAATAATGCAGTTCAAGAGATACACATTATGTAATATTTCTTTAAATAAAGATTGCAAGAGTGTTCAGGAACACTGTATATATACAGATAAGAAAACCAAACAAGGTTATCAGGAACCCTATTATATCTCCAATACAATACATTTTTAGTTAACTGAGCAGCCTTAAATCAAATTTATGCATAATGTAAACTCACAGTAATTAAAAATACAGGCAGAGAGAGAAACACAAACATACAGCTTGTCCACCATGATTTTGCATAGTAAATTAATAGTTAATGGTTAATCATTTCTAAACACTAACATGATCTTTTTGCACCCAAACCAACATCCTTTGAAGTCCATAGAAAAGTTTCATTGACTGCTGAGTGTGCCTTCCTGGTCACTGACATTTCTTTCTGCTTTATTTCAGTGATGAAACTGTGACTTCCAGCAGCCAGATTAATTACATATGTGCATATCTTCTCACCATACTCCTGGGGGAATATATTTCATATGCCCACTTGTCTTTAATTAAAGATGAAAATGTGGATCCTACCCACCTATTAATTATACCATATGCTTTGTCCTTTCTATTTAACAGGCTTATAGACTATGAACACCAAGCAGTTGTTCTACAGGACATTAACAACAAAATGAGCAGACAATTCTGTCTTCAGATACTACATGTGCTTTTCCAGAACATTACCACATGGTAATGAAATTAAAATTTTACTTAAGCACAACAGGAGATGCACTCTTCTTGGGTTCAGATTCACCCAGACCTTCCAGTTCCCTTTAGAGAGCATTTCAATCAAATGATGATAGCCATTGTCATAAAACACAAAGCACTTCTGATTGAGGAATTACATGAAAAGCCAAATTAGAGGAAAGTATTTAAAAACTTTTTACGCCAAACAACTTTATTTTTGTTACTTTTTAAACCACACACAATGATTTATAACAGCAAACAGTATCATAAGCAGTTTCATGGCTTTATTACTCTTTATCATAACACATCCAGGTTAAGAAAGTATGAAAGGCAAGAGAGATTTTGGCAACTTGAAAAGCATGTCTGACCACTAATAGCATACATTACAACTGAACTACTCCTAAAAGTTTAAGTGGACGTCCAAACCACTACAATATAGAGGGGTTAAAAAATCAAGGAAAATAATTGGGCAACCATGATCTGGGGGGGCAATTCTAACAAACAGCAATGCTACTTGCACAAATAGCACACGCAAACAAATATGCACGACATAATATGCAGAAGTATAGTGTTAAATTGTAAGTTATTTGGTTCAAGGATCAAATCTTCCTTGCACATTTATGCAGTATTTAGTTTGATATGGCCCTGGTCTCTGGTTAACTATTACTGCTACTATATTTCTCTACTTATTTAGATAGGTGTAAACTAATATTTAATGTTCTACACAAAAAGTACTTTAAAAATCTCAAGAACATCATTAGCCATACTGCAAGCTAGGAGCACCTAAGACAGACAAGCAAACTGATTTGCCCTCAAGTACAACAGGATGAAGCCAAGATGTTTCAACATTTGTCTAGAAAAAATATTAGGGGGAGATTCATCAATCCTAAGATATCAACAATCTAGTGATCAGGGCATTTGTTAGGGTTGTGGGAGCCTCAGGTTCAACACTTTGACCATAAACTTTATTCTGGACCTAAGAAACTAATCTGATAACGTATTCACTGAAATAGCTACTGTTCAACAAAAAGTTTTGATTTCTATAAATCAGCGTTTTCCAACAAAATACACTTCCTTCAAAACAGTCTTGGACAGCTGTATTTCTACATACCAGGTTTTGCTTTCCTGCAAGCTATGCTGCTTCATAAGTGGACATAATGGATCTGGATTAGGGCCCAGACACACGCTATATTTAGGACATGATTAAGGTGTTAATTGTGCCATAACTGTAACCCAGCCACACATTAAAGCCAATTTAGCAAACAAACAACAAAGCTATTCTACATGTGATGTGTAACACCTCTGTGGGTCATTGAATGTGTGGCATGTCACCCATGACTGAGCATAGGGCTCTGTCACTAAGCTGAGCATAGGGATCTGGTGTGGGGCAGCTCCAGGATTCACAACACAGCCATCCTCTACCTGATCAGTGGGATTGGCCTGGGGGCAGCACCAGGGGGAGATGGGCAGCAGTGCTGTGAGTCTGACATCAGGGAGCACCTCCCAAATCTTGAGTTCATTGTGCCTCAGACCTCTAAAAAGCACGTGTGCAGCTGGGGCTACAGCTGCACGTCTGCTTTTTTAAGCTCCTGGGGCAACTGTGGAAGTAGCATCTGGGGGCTAGAAGCTGCCTAAACCCCAGCTACGGGCACTGCTTCATGGTGTGGAGCATGAGCAGCAGGGGAGCCAGGAGCTCCCAGCTGCCCATGACCCACATCACAGATCCTGGTGCATGTGGAGCTTTAAACAATATGTTTGCAGCTGGGCTGCAGCCATGCTTTTTAGGAGTCCCCAGGTGCTCCGACCCAGACAGTTGGGAGAGGCTTCCTGGTCTCTGGCTCCCAGTGCCTCCGGAACTTTAAGAACTAGCTTCAAACTCCATACCAGCAGCTCTGGTTGGGTTGCTGGAGTACAGGGGGAATACAAGCTCCTGTTGGAGTTTAAAGTCGCCAGGGGGAGAAGCCCTTTCTCTCCTCCACTCCTGCCAGGAGCCTCTGCTTCCCAATGCCCAGCAGCCCAGCTATGGTTATCAGGCATGTGGTTTTTGGCAATCAGCTGATTGGGTTTTCTGAAGCATTTCAGACATTCTAGGAATGTAACAGGGACACCTAAGTCGTTTTACAAAACCAACATCTTTCCAAAATTCATCCTAACAAAGAGCAGGCTGCTTTTTCTACACCCAAAATATTTACCACAGGGAAATATAAAAATGATGAGATGATAAAGACCCTTGAAATGGGCAGTAGCACATATATATATTTTCTGGTTTAACAGAAAAATGTGACAAAACTCTACTGTAACTCCTCTTTACCAGCCCAACTTTATTAATGAAAAGCTCTTTGGATTCGGTATAGCATTTGAAAGGCTGTGGGGGGGGAGGACCCCTAACGAACTGGAAGTTAATCACAGTTTGGTACTCACATTTTGCCACTGTGACTGTGAACACATGACTTTTGATTTCAGCACTCTCTCCAGTAGCTGTAATGTAATTAATAAATTTATAGAAGCTTACTCTCCTAGGTGCCAGATAGAGATATGAGAGATTATATTTTTCTGAAACTTTCACACACAAGACATCATGACGGTATAAAGGTACAGGGCTCCATTTCCCACTGAAACACAGCCTTTTCTTGCGTTCACATCCTTCTTCAAACTGAAATCACTGGCACAGAAAAATATACATGTATCAAGACCCCAGACAAATCCGCATGAAATGGGTCAAAGATTTATTTTAGAGGACAGGATTTGTATGCTCACAATCAGATAATTCAGTGCGAGTAGCTGCCAAGGAGGACTGCATTCAATTCCAATTTCTTTTTGCTCATTTCCAGAGTACAGTCAGGGGAGTGTATATATAACCAATCAGTCATCATACCTAATCCACACTTTGCTAAATCCACAAGGTGAAAGTTTTTAGTAGCAGCTTCAGAGAACGTCAAATTCCACTTTTAATTATGGCCTCTGGATTGAGGTCTATATTTAGAGTTACATAACCTTGATCTATCTAAGCTGGGATTCCTGGAAAAATGAAGAGTAACAAAATTTTGGGTTAATACTGCCTTCATTTTTATTATTACTCTGGGAAAATATATTCACCGTTAGAAGCACTGCTATTTCTGCCTATTGTTT